CATAAATAATATTTTTAGGACTTTGATAAGTTGTTAATCTGAACCAGCATTTAATGATTCATCTTGATCTATGTGCATTTTAAATGAGAATTGGTTAATTGGTATCCTTTAATACTAGTGACATATTCCTTATGTATAGCGGTACAGATCAATTTGACTGACTAATTTTCAGGTGTATTGAGCATATAGTAATTAATGAAAATTAGAGACATATTAATTATGGCTTGCAGGTTTGATTGTTGCGTGATGACACCATTATTTTATCAGCTACCTAATGTACTAATAACCCAGCAACTCGAGATTCTGAATGCTGTTCTAGCTCCAATACCTCGATATTCATAAATTAGTGATTACTTATGCATAAATATATAGGGAATTAATCCAATCAAGAAAACTATATTCACGTAAAAAGACAGTCTTGCCATCCCTTTGTTTCTCTATCTTCTTCTTTTTCTTTTTTGAAAATTTGGGATTAATACAAATACATAAGAGTGCAAATGAGAAGAATGCAAATTGTGGTTCACTTTTACTTTTGATTTTTACTATTTTGCTTCAGTTTTTTTTCTCTTTTTTAATTGCTCTGTATTGCAAATAAATAAGGTAAAAAAATTAAAACAAAAATAAATGAGAATACGCACCCCATGCTTTTGAATCAAAGCAAAAACATCAATTTTTGCTTGAGCATAAGCCAGGGAATAGGTATATAATTTTATGGGTTATACAAAAATAATTTTTCTTTTGCAAAATGTGAGAACAAATTTGATGACCCTAAGCATCCTTTCTAAGTTTACGTTGTGACTTGTGTCCAATGTTCTAGAGCAAAGTGCTGAGGTGCTACATCTATGAACTGGGCCGGACTAGACCAAACCACCCATTCACAGAGTTGCTCAATCCAGCTCTAAGGCCCAGTTTCATTCACAGACAAAAATGTCGGTGGGAAAATTTCACAGTTGAAAGATGGGGTATTTAGTCGAGATGGAGGAAGGAAGAGAGTCAGAATAAGGCCTCATGTGATACAACAGAAGTTGCTTTATCCTATAGTATGTGGTTTATTAGTTGGTTTCTACGTGTGTTGGCAGGTGGTAATGGACCGTTGGCCCACGTTAACATATCTTGTCAGCCCAAATAAACCACACCAAGATCAAGAGTGAATAATCAATCATCCCTGAACTCAGATGGACACATGATCTTCAGTTTAATCCCAGCCACAAGCACAAGAATGAATAATCACAGCTCACAACCCCTCATGCCATGTGCCATTACAGGGCTTAACCCTAAGAGCTTTCTTTAATTATAACTTCCGACTGAAATCCTGTCAAACAGATTAATTAGTGAAACAAACATAACCAGGACCACAACATTAATTGATGGCTTAGTTGCTGTGCCTGCTGCTGTGTTTTCATTTTTCAAACACGACAGCCCCACACTAATCGGAGTTCAGCTTAAAGCTCTAATGGTTCAGCTTGGTGGTGATTCAGCTTTTACCGACAAAAAAACGTGGTGACTCAGTGAGTCAACTTGCAATGCAAGATGAGCCCACCCACTAAGGGGATGTTTGGTATGGTCGCATTGTGATTCTGTTTGGGGTTTACATCAGCCCCACATCTGTGTTTCAATAGTAAAACATTAACAAAATGAGTTTGGTTAGACTGTTTGAGGTTACAACGGTTATGTTTTACAAAACAATACGATGCAACAAGTTGAAACATCAAATAGATGTTTTTTAAAACGACCATTGGAGTGATAGCGTGCCCGTAAGCACATCTCAGTGTGCATTGAAAACATCTCTCGTGCTTGTCATGGGAGAGATGTTTTCAATACATGGCTGGGATGGGCTGTGGGATCCTCTTTGGGCGAATTTCATTAATGTTGTTGCATTTCAAATGATGTGGCACTTACCTGGTAGGTTATAGATGTGATTCAAGTAAAAAGTTTCCTACAATGTTCAATCAGCATTCATCTTTAATTGCATTTCAAATGATTTGGCATCAGTGCTGTTGTTTCAGAAAACGGTGATACATCAATGTTACATCAGAAAAAACGGTACTTCAGAAAATGCCTGTTTGTTTGGAACTGTTTTTTCATAAAAAACAGTACTGTAAGCCATACCTTAGAAATTGGAAAGGTGTGACTTAGAACAATGCCGAATTTGGCATTTCCTGAAGTATTGCTATAAAACAGAAAATATTATTGTTGTTTTAGGAAATGTCTTATCTGGCAGCAATGTTTCCAAACGAAAAAAAGACATTGTTATCTCAGAAAACAATACTTCCAACCCACACATCATCATCGATGCCAAACATATACTTAAAAGGACCGGGTTGATACTGAGTCTTGAATCTGATTGAATTACGTGTATGGTTTTTTGTTTATTTCATAGATTCTGTTATTGGGTGATTCAACCACCCATTCATGAAAAAGTGACTCAATAACGAAATTTTCTTAGTTCCGAGTCGTCACATTTATGATTCGATTCAAGTCGGGCAAAGTGAAGGGAAGGACAATAACAATGACTTTGTAAGTTGAGTCAACTCAGAAATCAATTGAGTTGTATTGTAATAGATCCGAGTTGACTCCGGGAAGTTTAAATTTCAAAAACATACAAGGATAAGAGTGGTCCATCCTATAATTAGGTCACCAATTATGTACAATATTGATTCAGGCTTCAATACTTTGCTGAAAATTTAAAATCCAAGCATCGACAACAAGTGGAGACCATTATAATTTGAAACATCAGGAGGCAAAATTTATTAAAAGGGAACTTCTCGATTGAATTAAAAACCATATCCATGGTGTAGGCTAATAATTAAAAAGAAAATTTCAAATCCAAGAATATCAATGAGGACTGTAAACTGGTGACTCTGAGGGAAGGGGTTGGTTTTTTTTTTTTAATTTTTAATCAGCAGGGCAGGGGTGAGTTCTGATGAATATGGGTGTGTAAAACGAACAATAAAAGGTCTCTATGTTGGAGTTACAAAATACTTTATATAATTTCTCCTTTCTCCACCTCAGACAGGATTAGATCTCATTGAGAGGAACTTCCAAATTCTTCTGCTTGTTACGCAATTGTGTTAGCTCAGCATAGAGTGTTACGACAGACTGTCAGGGGAGATCGCATCTGCGCTCTACAAAGTTGTCCACAGCACATCTCCCAATGACAAGTATGGAAGATATTCTCAATGCATGCTCAGATGTGCATGTGGGGCATTTATGAAGCACAGATGTGAATTCCTGCAAGGGTGGTTTTGTACATAGTGACAAATCCTTCCTAGGCACCGTGTGCACTTTTACCTATGGTTAGACATTCTACTATAGTTTACAGTTTGTCATTTCGAGCCTCATCTATTTCACACCTCTCATGGTCATCTCAGTACTTGACGAGGATCTAACACTAGACCACTTGTTCAAACAGGCTTGGATAACATCATTTAGGATCGTTCAGCCTAAAATCTTAAAATGTTAGGTGAAGTTGTTGAATTAGTTTTAATTTTTTAATACATACATCTAATCTTTGATTAATAATTAATTAAAAAGACAAGGATTCAATCATTGCCCATAAATTAATTTTGCAAAACCCTACAAGGGAAACATGAGAATGTGAAAAATGGATGCATGACCACAACTGAAACCAAGGATCAAGAGAATGAAAAAAAAAAAAAAAACAGTAAACAATTACTAATTAATCAATTGAAAGAAAGAAATAGGAAACACACATTAATTAAACAAATGTGTTGGAGCCCTCTTTTTGATCAGAATGGAACACTTGAATATCAAAAACCATTTATCAGTGGTGGGGATTGAAAGAGGAACAGTCAAAGTGGGTGGTTTTGTATTTTAATTCATTAATTAGCCAGAACCTAGAAATCGATATCCAACCAGCACTGATATCAATACATCGAGTGGATGGTGCAAGAATTCCTCGAAAGCAAAACAACGTGATGGTTGGTCCTGTAAGAGCATGGATTGGATAGTTTTATGACATTCTTTAGGATTCATTTCATTTTTTTTTTATGGAAACCAGTATGTTTGAATCTTGAGTTAATTGTCATTGGGAATGTAGTCTGCAAGCTCTTTGTGGGATTGAGCATGTGATAGATCCTTAATTAACTGACATGTACCCAGCAGATCGTGGACATCGCCCTTTTCAGTTTAGAGAGAGAGAGAGGAAACTTCCATCAACCTTCATGAGGTGAGATCTGGTCAACATTTCCTCTGTACTGTGAAACAGGATGGATAGAACAGTAGAGGGAAATTTTTTCTTTTTGAAGGGTAAAAAATACAAAACCGGATCTTCTACTTGAAGGATTTGTGCTAAGTAAATACATCTCAATCAGATGAGGCAACTTTCAATTATTAATCACACAAGTAGACTTTGTTCGATAGGTCTGCCCCTTTGGTAAGTACCGAGTAACATCATTCATTATGATCAAGGAACCAAGGTCCAATGAGAGTGATGGAACAGCGGGAAATTTAGAGTTCAGTCTACCTCAAGGACTTAATAATTTTTTGGGTTTTATTTTTCAATACCTCTGGCAATGATTCACCACCCCCTTGAATACATGGACTTTTGTTCCAAATGTATAAATTGTTCTAAAGTTTATGGAGGTTCAGGCCATCGGTTTCTGGGTATGGTCCGTTCAGATAAAAAATAAAAAATTATTAAAACTAAAAAGGCCAAAACCGTTAAATGAATTAACTGTTCAACTGCCTCGTTAATCAATTCAATGGTTTTTGGCCAAAGACCGGATTTAAGATAAAACAGAATCAGTTGTCTGAATGATTCCCGGGCTGAATGATCCGACCGTCCGGATCAACGGTGATTCAAAAACATTGGGGTGGACTAAACAATTAAAACCCCAATAACTGAAGTCCATAATTCATGGAACTACTGGGAGAAAAGAAGTCTTCCCAGCAAATTAAATTGAATTTGAATATAAGAACTGTTTGCAATAAAGGTAGATATGATGGATCCTCAATGACACAAACTCGGACTAGATTTCAATCTCGTATCTCATTATAAATGAAAAATGTCATAGCACTAAAGTTTACAGTACAGAGCTTTTGAAGAATGATACAAAACTTTGTCTTTCTACCTATCATCACTAACTTCCAAAGAAAACCTTTTTCTTTTTCGCTTTAAGAGAAGTGACCAAGAACTTTTTCCTCGGTCTTAGCTTTTGTTTTTTTTCTTGTTTTCTATTATTTGATTTCTTCTTGTTGTTGCGCCATGGCTTTCTTCCTTTGAGCTTGAATTTCTGAGCCCGTGGGATGAGAGAATGGCATCAATGGCTTCCTTCACTTGGCCAACCTCAGGATCTTTTCCACCTTGTACCGGCCAGAACTCATCTGTTGCTAGCACCTGTGCCAAGAACAATTGTTTCATCTAGCCATACAAAATAACTACAATCTTCTATATATAAAGTTTAAGACCTTGGCTATGAGATTGAGTTGAATTATTACCTTCACCTGCAACTGCAGAAACTTGACATAACTGATGGCTTTCTCTAGCATGGTAACCAAATCAACCTGTGTACTCAAAATGCAGAGAAGGCAAAATAGCATTACATGATGACTAGTTTCACCATTAAGAATTAAACACCCTGTTCAAATTGAAGGATATTCATATTCAATCCAGGAATTAGTAAATAAAATCCAGAAACCTCACCTTTGCTCCATTTGGTATTAGATCCTGCAATATCTTCAGCCGCTCACTGATCTTCTCTCTTCGGTTCTGGAATACACAATTAACTATTAGTATGGTTGGAGGGTCATTTCAACCTCCATGATTAAGTGGAATTCATCTTCACAAGTAAGTACCCACAATAAGTCAGGTTCAGTTGCAGAAGCTAAGTAACCAAACCTTGGCTGCAATACTCTGTGAGTCCTTGGGTGGAGATGACTTGGGCTTGGGCGTCCAAGGTGAACCAGCTGCCCAGTGCTTCTTGGCCACCGCTTGCATCTCACCTCCCTGCACCAACAATGTCATAACGACGTCAAACTCATAAGTAATAGTAATACAGTCGATGATCGATGTTGGTTTCAAGGCAGTATTACCTAATCTACTTGAGAGAAGCAATTAATTTAATACCGTGTAAGGCCGCTTGAGGAAGCGTGCTTCTGATCCTCCATACTCTTCATCAACATTTTCAGCGGTGGCAATCGGTGTTGAATACAACCACCCAAATCGCCCCTCCGTGTTCTTCTTCAAGCCGTAGCAATTGAGGTCTTCTGCAGACAGACGGGAGTCGGTGGCCGCAGCAGACTTACTACTGGATTGATGCCACTGGCACTGGTTAATAAGGTGCGTAGAATCTATCCAGATTGAGTAACCATCTTCATGATCGTCGGTCGTCCGACGACTACTGCTGCGAGGAACCCGTTCTCCTTGTTCGAAGCTAAGAAAGGATTCAGAGGGACACGCCGAATTGTCATAACTGGTCCTGAAGTTGATAATAGATTGAGCTTCCTCGGGTGGAGAATTCGTGATTCCAAACACATACGCTCTGCTGTTCTCCTTGCTTAGATCTGAAAGAGAGGGAAGACTGCTCAGGGCTGTATCCTTGGTAGACCCACTTGTGTTATTTGATCCCTCTTCCTCTTCGAGCCCTGCTTCGTGATAATTATTAATGAATCCGAAGAAGGGAAGAGAAGAAGAATCAGAAAATGGGAAAGGAGACCCTCCATACATGTTTGCCAGCAGAAGGAACCGTAACACACTTGAAGCAAGCTAGGCCGTCTGTGAGTCTCAGGCCACCCAGTACTCCTTTGCAAGTGCCATTGGAGCTAATGAACAGGAACTCTGGAAAGGCATCAATGGTGAAAGAGACAGTTTCAGGTGAGGGCTCTTTGTAGGATATACGATAGACTTCTTTGCCTTGTTATATAACAAATGGTCACTAAAACCAATAAAAATGTTGGAACTTGGAAGAAATTAAGACTATGGGAAGTTGGGAAGAAGAAAATATGTAGTAAATACAATAGAAGTAACGAAGTTTAGGATACATTTGTATATTCAAATTTTATGGGGATTGTTAGCTGGCAGAGATGGATGGCATTGAATGAACAAGAGAGAAAACAAGCAGCAAAAGCCTCGCCGGATCTTTCGCTTTCCCACGTCTCAGATTCCTCTTCTTTTCATTTTACAGGAAGATTTCCTGAACCCCATCAAGAGTTAAAACTCGTCTGAGTCGTCTCCCTGACTCTCTCCCTTCTTGCTTAATTACCTCCCCCAAGTGGGGAGGCATATATTTTATGGTAGGTGAGTTATTTACCTAGGCATCATGAGGCAGCACCTGTTGGATTTTAATCACATTAGAGATTAAATGCAATAGGGTTTGATTGGTTAATTAAATGAAAAAAAATACAACTTCACATATATCTTGGAAAATAGTTTTTTCTTTTAATATTAAAACCAGTTTTAATTTGTTCCACATTGGAAATTATTAAACTTGTTTTGAATTTTTTAAATAGGAGTTTGTTTACACATTTTAGACTTATAAGGCTTCGTTTGTTTGCGATACAAATGCTGAACCGGGGCATTTATGTACTCTGGTTCGCATTTGTGAGCATTTATTTGATGCGTCAAAAAGTAATGATTATCAGAGCAAAAATGCATTTTCTAACAGTTTTGTACTCTGAAAAGAGAGCATTACTATACCTATTTTTTTTTATACAATTTTGTGCTTTCTTGATAATTAACTTTTGCACCGGTTTAAAATGTGAACCGCGTTTGCATTCATGAACAAAAAAAATGGGTAAATATGTAATGTACATATTTGCGTTTGCATTGCAACTAAACACAGTCAAGAGGAGAGTATAGATGCTTGATATTGCACAATGCATGTGCACACGCACGTGTGTTCAGTGCAATGAGGCACTATTCAAAGTTAACTGTTAACTACCTTTTAATAGTCACAAGGTTAATTGTGATTGTTCAAAGAATCTTTTCTAAATCACCACCTTCCTCTTCTCCATGACTTTTCAGAAATTATATAAGTAGCACGAATCAAACAAATGAATATAAGTTTTCAAAAATCACTCTTGTCTCTCTCAGTTCAATTTGCTACTATTTCACATGAGGTTTTTTTTGGAAATTCTTTAACTTTGCTAGTTGCAGGTTCTCACCCAAAGCTCTGTTGTATCTTGAGGACGAATTTGTTTATAATCCAATAGCAAATTCAGTAAAATTGAGTGGGGACAAATAATATTCTAAAGACAATATCTTTAAACATGGCTCAAAATTTCTATTCCAAGTTTCCATAACTCCAATTCCCAACAGAACCAGAACTAATAACTTTAGAATTTGTTTGTCTTTGAATTGGGGTATGAAACGTTCTGCTCAATTGCTCAAATGCTTTGCTTAATCGATTCTAGGGCTGTCAACTACTGGGAACAAAACCCATTTGTGTTAAAATGCCTCCACCCGACCCGGATCCAATAAATTACCACTCCTAGCTTGCTTTGATATCGTAGACAATTTGCCATTGCCTATTGATTATGTTATGGGAGGAGTCTATTCAGCTCATTCCATTAAGGGTGACCTGGTTCTGAATTGTTCAATTCTAAAATATTAACACCTAATTATTGATCTTATTCTTGTTCTTTTAACTTATCTCAATTTTCAACCCGTCCATTAAATTCATTAATCACGCCAACTGGAGTTTTGTTATTCAGTATTAAATTAATGTTGTAATTTGACCTACCTTTTTCCCCATTTAATGACCCATATATTTCAATAAAACGGTGAAATGCTTGGGCAACAAATTAATTACTTGTGAAGGGAATGCAAATGATGGACCAACTAGATATTTTTATACATAGGAGGTAAGCTACATTGGTGCATCTGTATGAAATAACAGTTCTTGAGAGGAAAGAGAGAAGGAAAAAAGGAAAACCAAAGCAAAAGAAGAACTATCATGCACCAAAGAGAATTTATATTGGTATATTATATAGAGTGAAATATTAGGATCTCATAGACACCAATATGGCCATGATATACAAAAATAACAGAAAAAGTTGAGCTAATGTTTGTACTATTGTTTTCTTTTTCTCACCCTTAAAACATGAGGAGGTAAAATTACAATTTTGACATTTTGACACTACTATTTCTCGCAAGCATGCTGAACCTGAAACATAAATGTAGAAGCATTAATTCATAGCATATATTCGACACAAAGAATAGTTAGTTCCGCTGAGAGAATAGTTTGGAATAAATTACAATATATTCGATACAACCTTATTGAAGTATGACAGATATGAGAAAATACTTTGGGTCCATTTAATTCATAGCTGGATTCGGAATCCTAATCACTTGGAATCAGAACTGGAATGGTTTATTCTCATATAGTCTGTTGGTTCAGATACTGATGAGGGCGGATTTGGCCCTCCAATGACATTATGACACTTAGCACCTCACGAGAATTAAGTGCTAACTAATCAGGCAGTTTGCCACCATGCAGCACTCGCAGGCAGTAGGCAGTTCGCCACCATGCTGCACTTACAGGTAGCTTGCCATCATGCTGCCTGGCACCTTACGGGCAGCTCGTTTCCTAGTCAGACCGACCACCGCATGAAAACCCCGAAGACCTCACCCCCCAGAGGGGAAAGGAGGGAGGAAAAACAAAAGAAGAAATAGGAGGAAATGAAGGGAGGCAAGAAAAGAGATGGTAACCCCTGCTCTCTAGCTCTCTAACTCTCTGATATCATCTTCAATTTCTCTACTGTGTGCTAACTTAGCCATCGGAGTGTCCCCGCCGGGTAAGCCACTCCGGGTTCTCTGATTCAGCTCTTGCAGGCAACTAGTTCCCGCTGTCTACAAAGATGAGCAGATCATATCCTGCAGGGAGCAGCCGGGTTGCACTACGCCAGGGAGCTCCGCTCCAGCCCCTGAGTCATTGGCCACCTAGGAGCAGACGGGATGACGAGGTACTTAGCCACAAAAAATGATACGTGACCAGAAACGGTTACATCATTTGGCGCCGTCTATGCGAATCGCTACAAAAAGCTAAGTTCTCATTCTACAAAAGCTAAGTTATCATCTTACAAAAAGCTAAGTCCTCTTCTCCCAGAAAATAAAACCTCATCAGTCCTCTTAATGAGGTCCCCTCTACAAAGATGAGCTCTTCGTGGCTTTCACGGAAGTTGGTATCCAACAGACTACATGGGTGCCCTTGCTGGTCGAGTCTTCCAAGGCTCCTGTGCGAGTTGGTGACCTAAAGTCAGTAATGCTGCCCCCGTTGGTCGAGCTCCTAGCAGCTTCTTGTAGGATTGGGTGACCGACACCACGAGGCTGATGCAGTGCAATCATAGCTCTAAGGCGCCCACCCGGCAACTTGCACGCGACCTGGCGGCCTGCGTGCGGCCTGGCACAGGCACCGACCTGGCAACCTGGCCCAGGCGCGGCCTGGCGACCTGGCAAGTGATTTTTAGCCAGAAACAAGTAAGCAAGTTCTAGTTCTCAGACTTTGTGATTTTTAGCTCGCAGTCTACTATGAGAGTAGTAACTTAAGCACCGAACTCACCGGGTTAGCCACCCCGGGTCATCTGACATTCAGTTCCTTGCAGGTCTCTAAAGAGCAACGAAGCTCATCAATCCAACTCGGCACCTAGTCAGCCCGACACCTCACAGGCAGCTCGGCACCCGGTCAACCCAGCACCTCACAAGCAGCTCAGCACCCGGTCAGCCCGACACCTCACAGGCAGCTCAACACCTGGTCAGCCCGGCACTTCACAGGCAGCTCGGCACCCGGTCAGCCTGGCACCTCACAGGCAGCTCGGCACCCGGTCAGCCCGGCACCTCACAGGCAGCTCGGCCCGGCACCTCATAGGCAGCTCCGTACTGCATAAGACCCAGCCATCTCTTCGGCAATGGGCAAAGTTCAGGAGTGGACTGTGAGTCGCTCCAAAAGCCTAAGGGCCACAACACTGCTCAAGACCCAGTTGCCTCTTCGGCATGGGCAAAGTTCAGGAGTGGACTATGAGTTGCTCCCAAAGAGTAAGGGCCACATTTTTGCTCAAGACCCAATTGCCTCTTCGGCATGGGCAAAGTTCAGGAGTGGACTATGAGTTGCTCCCAAAGCCTAAGGGCCACAACACTGCTCAAGACCCAGTCGCCTCTTCGACACGGGCAAAGTTTAGGAGTGGACTATGAGTCGCTCACAAAGCCTAAGGGCCACAACACTACTCAAGACCCAGTTGCCTCTTCGGCATAGGCAAAGTTTAGGAGTGGACTATAAGTCGCTCCCAAAGCCTAAGGGCTACAATATTGCTTAAGACCCAGTTGCCTCTTTGGCGTGGGCAAAGTCAAAGAGAGTGGACTATAAGTCGCTCCCAGAGTCTAAGGGCTAAAGTACCGAACTGGCAGAGACCTCGGCACTGCATAAGACCCAGTCGCCTCTTCGGCATGGGCAAAGTTCAGGAGTGGATTACGAGTCGCTCCCAAAGACTAAGGGCCACAATACTGCATAAGACCTAGTCGCCTCTTCGGCATAGGCAAAGTTCAGGAGTGGACTACGAGTCGCTTCCTAAGGGCCACTATACTACATAAGACGTAGTCGCCTTTTCGGCATGGGCAAAGTTCAGGAGTGGAGTGCGAGTCACTCCCAAAGCCTAAGGGCCACAATACTGCATAAGACCCAGTCACCTCTTTGGCATGGGCAGAATCTAGGAGTGGACTACGAGTCGCTCCCGAAGCCTAAGGGCTACAATACTGCATAAGACCTAGTCGCCTCTTCGGCATGGGCAAAGTCCAGGAGTGGACTACAAGTCGCTCCCAATGCCTAAGGGCTATAGTACCGAATTGGCAGAGACCTCGGCACCTTACGGGGTAGCTCGCTTCCAAGTAGCTCTTAGAGCCTAAGAAACTGAATCAGCGCTTACGAGCTCGTCGAAATATGGACCAAAAGGAGAAATCTACTCCCT